TGGCCTGTGTCAAGAAAGTCAAAGCCAAGAACCTCAAAGAGATGTCTCCAAAAACTTTCATTCAAGTATGGGTATGATACATTGGAAAGAAGTTTAATAAGCAGGGTACCCAAGAGCACAAAGACTGGCTACTTCTTTGTGGGGGTGAAGGAAGAGCTTCAAGGAGAGGAATGACAGGCTTGGGGCTGGCAGAACGAGTGGTTCTTCTGGTATAAAGGTTGGGGGAGAAGAAGAGAGAAGCATTTCATCCTGTGAGAAACACGGGCTATATCCTGGAGCCAAGGGTAGCCTTGAGGGGTTTATGTTAGGAATGGTGGGGGATGAGCTTATCAAAGCACAGCATCTTTGGTTCCTCCACATAGCAGAGAGGGGCTGAGGGGGCAGCTCTCTTGTCACAGGTGTGGGCCAGGTGACTTGACTTGAAGCTGTGCTTCTGCATAGCACCAACTGTTTTTTGTTTTTTTGGGGGGGGAGTGTGGAACCCCGATTTTATTTTGTGTTGTTTTTACTTTTTGAATCAATTTTTTCTGAAGTACAATTTTTGTACAATAAATTACACATTTATGAATTTTTTCTAATACATGGAATTGTGTAACCACCACCATCATCAAAAGAGAGAACATTTCTGTCACTCCACAGTTTTCTTTTGCTTCTTTGCAATAAATATCTCCCACTTGCTCTGATAGCATCCACTGTTTTTGAGTTGGAGTCTCACTGTCACCCAGACTGGAATGTAGTGGCACACTCACGGCCATTGCTGCCTCAATTTGCTGGGCTAAGGTGATTCTTCCACCTCAGCCTTCCAAGTAGCTGGAACTACAGGCATGCACCATCATGCCTAGCTAACTTTTTGATTAATTGAAGAGATGAGGTCTTGCCCAGTTGCCCAGGCTTGTCTCGGACCTCTGGACTCAGGCAATCCTCTCGCCGCCTCCACCTCCCAAAGTGCTGGGATTACAGGCATGCACCACCATTCACTGTTCTTTTTTGTACATTGTTTAGTTGAAGTGGCTTGGGAAAGAGATGATTACTGGTAGTAGTAATGGTGGGGACAGGGAGGGGATATTCCAGGTACCCCTAGGCCCAGCCACTGCTCCCATATGACTGCTATAAAAGACGAGTGGAATGAGTATTAGAGAATCAACCACAATTTCCACTACAGCTTTAACTAGAGAAACAGAAATTGAGGTGCAGAGGAGATTTGAAAGATTTCAGAGTCAAACAGGCAGAATTTGGTGAGAATGGGGGTTAGAAGGGCAGAGGTGAGAACTGTTTTGTACCCATAGAGCATAGGGGATCCAGGTAATGACATCCAGAATTAGATATGGTTCTAGCTTTAGAAGTTATCCTTCTGTTTGGGATGTGCTCCCAAATAAACAGAGTGGGAGGTAGGTTACAGGTGAAACAAGATTGGTTCTGAGTAGATAACTGAAGTGAGTGCAAAGGTAAAAATTGGCTCCAAGAAAGTAAAAAGCTGCCCTGCAATTCATCAGTCTGGGAGGGCAGATTTGGTAAACTCAGCTACAAAGTTACCAAGTGAGGGCTATAGCTGTAAAGTGTCATAATGACCCCCTTCTTTGTGTGACTACTGCTTTCTGACTTTAAAGAAACCTTGTTCTCTAAAATGATAGACTATCAGAAACTTTGCTGCTTGAAGTTTTATCAGTAAAAACGAAACATCCTTTTTTTTTTTTTTTTTGGCCAAGAGAATCTAAGCCACTTTGACATAGAGAAGTGGTCTTGATTTCCAACCCAGGTTCAGAGCTTCAGATAAGGTTTCTAAATACAATATTCCATGCTTGTCCTAACTGTACTTTTTAAATTTTTACCAGCTTTACTTTATTTTAAACAAGTGATGTGTAAGTGAGGATTTACTACATAAGAAAGTTGCATGCAGGTGAAGTTTGGGCTTTTGGCTGGCCCTCCCTCCCCGATAGTGGACCAGGTACCCAGTGAGTGGTTTCACAGTTCAGAACAGATGTCGATACCTTTATACATATACCGTTGCTTTGTGCCTATCCACATACTGCTTGGCTTAAATTTTACCTAAACGCTACTTTTACTCAAAATCCTATATATAACGCTATCTTTTCCTGTTTGGTGAGATGCCTCAGTCTCTCTGGTATGTAGTCATCCTCATTACAACAAGTCAATAAACCTGACTTTATCAAACTCCAGATTTGTTCCTAGTAATCTGAGGGTGACTGGGCTAGAATATGCATATGGGGGTAGAAGAGGGCTTTGTACTGTTCCCTCCATTCTTGAATATGACTCGCATTTTTCATAAAATCGTCAAGTTCTTAAGAAGTTTCTACCCTATGAGACTAGTAGGGCCATGATAGTGTTTGAGATCTGAGGAGGGCAGAATAATAGGCTCCCACCCCTTGAATTACCCAAGTGGGCCCAGTGTTAATCACTGGATCTTTAAGGTGGGGCCTTAAGCAGAGACACCTTGGCTGTATCAGAGATGCAACGTTACGAGTTTTAAAAATAAACTGGCCGTAAGTCAAGGAATAGGGACAACCTCCAGAAGACAGAAGGGGTAAGGACAGAATCTCCTCTTGAAGCTCCAGAAAGGAAAGTAACCCTGTAACTGATGTAGCCCAGTGAGACCCATGTCAGTGTCTGGCCTGCAGAACTGTAAGACAGTAAATGTGTGCTGCTTGAGGCCACTATTTGTAATAATTTGATATGGCAGCAATAGAAAACCAATACAAGATCACGCAGAGGGAGTGAGTAAAGACAGCAATGAGCCAAGGGTGCGAAGGGGACACCAACTCTTCAGAGGAGAGGAGAAAAACGTGTTAGCCCAGGAGACAGAAAGGGAGGCACTGGGGTTGGGGGAGCCAAGAGACAAGGAAGTAGAAAGGAGCCCAGAAAACTTAAAACTGCTCACTATTTAAAAAGGGGAGGCCAAAGGAGGTGACAGTCTTTATGTTTAAAGTGCATGTTATTTCCTTGCTTCACCTTCCCTGTGACTCTAGGATTTGCATGTAACCAACAGCCTCTTTCACCTTCTCCCCCATGTCAAAAACCTGAGAGTTTGAGAACTTTCACAGCCTTGTTATAGTAATATTCAGGTTCCACAAGAGCAGGTTTTACCACATCCTAAGCCAGGAAGAAATGCAGCTGTTTGTATGTGTTAATCCAAGTTATTTGACTCTAGGGGTTGGTCTAAACCAAGAGTGACAACAGCCACCCAGAAGGGCCCAGCAATGTGGAGCAGAGACCATTTTAGGCAAAATGCTTAGCAGATACTGTCAATCCCAGTGTGACTTCCACTCCCCAGTGTCTCCTTTTAAAATCCAAGGTACCCAAAAGTTTCAGCCTGCCTTCCTGCGGTCCAAATATCCACATTTAAAGACCCCACCCAGGCCCACTGCACCAAACAAGTAGGACAAATTTTCTTTTTTTTCTTTTTGGAGTCTTACTCTGTCACCCAGGTTGGAGTGCAGTGGCATGCTCACGGCCACTGCAGCTTCAACCTGCTGGGCTCAGGCAATCCTTTTGCCTCAGCCTTCCAAGTAGCTGGAACTACAGGCATGTGCCACCACGCCTGGCTAATTTTTTGATTTATTGTAGAGATGAGGTCTAGAAGCAGTGGGCTCAGGCAATCCTCTCACCTTGGACTCCCAAAGTGCTGGGATTATAGGCATGAGCCACCACACCCGGCCAACAAATCTTCAACAGGGCGCCAAGACGATTCAATAGGGGGAAAATACTCTTTTAAACAAATGTTGTTGGGACAACTGGATAGGCAAATACAATGAAATGAAGGTGACACTTTCCTTACACCACACACAAAAATTAACTCAAAATGGATCATACACCTAAATGTAAGAGTTAAAAAACATGAGACTCAGAAGAAAGCATAGGAGTAAGTGTTTGTGAACTTGGGTTATTCAAAGTCTTCTTAGACATGACACCAAAAGCACAAGTGAAAGAAGTAGAACAAACTTCACCAAATGAAAAACTTTTGTGCCTCAAGAAAATGAAAAGACAACTCACAGAATGGGAGATATATTTGCAAATTATATATCCATCTGCTTAGGGACTTGTACCCAGAATACACAACGAACCCTTACAACTGAACAATAAAAAGCCAAATAACAAAATGAAAAAAATGAGCAAAAGATTTGAATAGACATGTTTCCAAATAAGTATCCAAATGACCAATCAACACATGGAAAGATGCTCAACATCATTAGCTATCAGAGGCTAACATAAATCAAAACCATGGTGAGATATCATTCCATACCCACTTGGATGGCTACAATCAGAATGACAGATAATGAATGAATGAACAAAAACATAACACTATTCTGCCATAAAAAGGAATGAAATGCACATGTTACAACCTGGATGAGCCTTGAAACCATTATGCTAAGTAAAGGAAGCCAATTACAGAATACTACATATTACAATTCTAATTATATGAAATTTCAAGAAAAGCAAATCTGTACAGACAGAAAAGTAGTCTAGTGGTTACCCAGGGATGGGAGTTAGGTGGAGAAACTTGGAAGAAAAAAGTGGGACATAGGCTTTCTTTGTGTGTATGTGTAAGTTTGAGTCTCACTCTGTCGCCCAGGCTGTGTGCTGTGGCACACTCACAGCCACCCCAGCGTCGACCTGCTAGGCTCCGGCTCTGGTGATCCTTCCGCCTCAGCCTTCCAAGTGGCCAGAACTACAGGTGCGTGCTACCACATTCAGCTAATTTTTGATTTATTGTAGAGACAAGGTCTTGCCAAGTTGCCTGGGCTGGTCTTGAACCTACAGGCTCAGATAATCCACTCGCCTCGGCCTCCCAAAGTGCTGGGATTACAGGCTGAGCCACCGAGCCCAGCCTGGGCTTTCTTTTTGAAGTAATAAAAATGTTCTGGAACTATTGGCTGTACAACCCTATGACTATACTAAAAACCACTGAATTGTACCCTTTAAACTGGTGCATTGTATGGTGTATGAATTCTCTATCAATAAAGCTGTTAAATTTTTTTAACAAGTGGGATACAGAGATCGCTTTATTTGTATTTTAAAACCTTATACATTTCTTAGAAATCAATCTTACACTCATCCCAAAACACTAAGGACAGAAAAACAGATTTCTGTCTCTGGGACATGTTGAACCCCGAGTTCACTCCTCTGAGCCTGCGGAACTGCCGAGAGCTTGGGGCAGGAAATCTATCTGCTTCTGGAGAATCACAGAACTGCAGGTTTCTGGCATGGAGCATTTCAATTCTATAAAGACATGTATTTCTGCACAACAATAAATTGTTCTTGAAGCCTGAAGAGCAGCACAAAAAGTTTTCTTTCCTGCACAGAGATTCACTCCAAAAGGCCATCTAAAACTCACTGGGTGAGGTATTTCAGAGTAAACCAGAGTGCTGGGAAGACCAACTCTAAATGTTAGATGCTTAACTTTTAGTCTCTTGATGTTCTCTCCCTTTCTTCTGGTCAGGTTTTTCAGCTCTAGGACAAAGGACTAACTCCTCTGCTCTTATACCCCTTACCAAGAATGGCAGATGAGAAGAGATAAAGAAGCTTCCTGGAGGTCAGACTCCATTTCCCAGCTCCAGGGCTCACACTTGAGCTCCCACCCACTCCCGAGCCACTTGACTCCTTCTTCATGCATGGCAGGGCTTGCCGGAGGATTCTGGGAGTAATTCCTGCCTTGGCATGTCAGGGGAGCAAGTGAACACACAGGTAGTCTGGTTGGTGAAGGATTCAAGAAAAAAAGCTAAGACTTTTCTTAGGTGAATGTTGGCACCAACAGATACACACTAAAATAAACGAACTGGATTACAAAGATAAGTAAAACTTAAGTAAACTTTACTTTCAAAGTCCTTGAGATATAAAAGAAAATGATGTCAAAGCTGAAGATAACACACTTCATTGCCCTGGAGTGTCAGTGCTCTAGAGGTGGAAGGAACTTGGGGATGGGAAGGTGGGTGGGAGATACAACAATTTTCTAGCTTCAGAAAGGCAGAGAGCCCAGACTACAGCCAGAACATCATGGCACTGGTTACAGATTCTTTACAAAGGTGTCTACCTGTGGGTAAGAGAGAAATCAAAAGTTTAATTTCACATTTTTAGCAGATTATTTTCAATAGTCCAGGCACAATGCATATGCAGTCAAGCTCATGAGGCTTTTCATTTTTATTTTTTAAGAGATAGGGTCTTGCTTTGCCACCTAGGTTGGAGTACAGTGGCCTAATCATAGCTCACTGCAGCCTTGAATTCCTGGGCTCAAGCAATTCTCCGGCTTCAGCATCCCAAGTAGCTAGGACTACAGTGTGCACCACTACACTTGGCTAATTTTTTGATTTTTTTTTTTTGTGTAGAAACAGGGTCTTGCTATGTTAGCCTAGGCTAGTCTCAAACTCCTGGTCTCAAGCGATCCTCCCACCTCAGCCTCCATAAGTGCTGGGATTACAGGCATGAGCCATTACATCTGGTCCCTATGAGGTTTTTGTAAAAAAGGGATAATAGGCATGGGGAAGGAATGTGAGCAGCCCAGGGTCACATAGCATCAATTGGCAGAGCTAGGAACAGAATCCAGAAGTCTCATTTCCCTGGTTTTAGAATACTTTAGAGGAGAAAATCAGCTGCAAAGTGCAAGTTACAAGTCAATTATTTAACAATTATTAGCCCAGCATACTTTAGAGAATAGGGATTATATTTGTGATTTGTATAAGATCCTATAGGCTTTGGAGTGTAAAATGAAATCTGAGATGCAAGGCACAAGACCCATTATAACGAACTTTGAAGCAAAGGCCAGAAAGATAAAAATATGATAAAGGAAAACTACTAGAAAGCAGGAGTTAACGTCCTTCTCACCTTTCTCATGAGCTCTTCTTGTTTGGTTACTTCTTCAGAAAAATCATCACTGACATCTAACACCAGCACTGGAATGTTCAGCAGAGTCTCAAAGTGAAGCCTAGAAGCATGAATGTTTAGGTGACAGAAAAAGAGAAAGGGAACCTGAGCCAAGCTTCATATACTCACCAAGTCTTAATAATTCAGAGCACAGATTTAAATTCAAGGGGCTTCTCAAAAAAACTACATGTAAATAGCATTTTAAAAAATGGTTCAGCCGGGCTCGGTGGCTCAGCCTGTAATCCCAGCGTTTTGGGAGGCTGAGGTGAGTGGACTGCCTGAGACCGCAGGTTCAAGACCCACCTGGCCAACTTGGCGAGACCTCATCTCTACAATAAATCAAAAAAATAAAAATAAAAATAATGGTTCTGTGGTTTCATCAGAGTTAGGTAAGATTTCTCTTTAGTCTCTCTCTTTTTTTTTTTTTTGAGTTGGAGTCTCATTCTGCTGCCCAGGCTGGAAAGCAGTAGGACACTCACGTCTACCTCAGCGTCAACCTGCTGGGCTCCGGCAATCCTTCAGCCTCAGCCTTCCAAGTAGCCGGAACTACAGGCACGTGCTACTACGCTTGGCTAATTTTTGATTTATTGTAGAGACAAGGTCTTGCCAAGTTGCCCAGGCTGGTCTCAAACCCGTGAGTTCAGGCAATCCACTCACCTCGGCCTCCCAAAGTGCTGGGATTATAGGCTAAGCCATCGAGCCCAGCCTTCTCTTTAGTCCTGAGAGTTACACTGAAGGACAGAGTTCCAAACATTTTCAGTGGACAACAAACCAAGCCTGAAGGGAGGACAGGTAGAAACTAGAAATGTCAACTTAGTAAAACTTATAATTTCTCTAAAAATGTTCAGTCTTTCACCCTGAGCCAAGTGTCACCATCAATCACAATGTTCAATCTAAGGATAATTTTTGAGTCAGAGTCTCATTCTGTTCCTCTGGATGGAGTGCAGTGTTATGCTCACAGTCACCACTGCCTTGACCTGGTGAGCTCAGGTGATCCTTCTGCTTCAGTCTTCCAAGTAGCTGGAACTATGGGTGCATGCCACCATGCCCAGCTACTTTTAAAATTTATTGTAGAGATGAGATTATTGTAGAAAGAGAAGTTGTCCAGGCTGGTGTAGAACCCGTGGGCCTGGGCAATCCTCTCACCTCTATCTCCCAAAGTGGGACTACAGATGTAAGCCACCGTGCTCAGCCTAGGGAAATGGTTAAAAAGAAAAAGAATAAAGACAAATGGACATAAAGAATCTAACAGAAAATCCCTTGGAATCTACAGGTTATATTCAGTAGTAAATTTCTGAGTAGGAAAATGCTTTACATTTCCAATCACTTCCAGGGTATTCTGAACCTTCTTATAGGGTTGCAAGTTTTTTTAACAGCTGGCTAACAGGGAGATATGTCTCTGGTAAGCTCTTTTCTCCACTTACTTCGTTGTTTTGTGAACAAGCCAGGCTTCGTGCTGACCATGAAGTTGCTGGAGATAGGCCAGCTCGATTCCTTTTTCTTCCTCCCTGGCCCTTCGGTAAAGTCTCTTCAAACAAACCTAAAAGACAACCCCCAGGGCCCCAATGAGCTAATTTGCCATTTTGGATGTTACAATGTAGACTTAGGCTACTCAGAGACCCATTCATCATGTCTAAGTGCAACTTTACTGGTTTTTGTTGTTGTTTTGAGATAGGGTCTCACTCTGTCACTTAGGTTGGAATGCAAAGGCATGATCCTGGCTCACTGCAGCCTTGACCTCCTAGGCTCAGGTGACCCTCCCATCTCAGCCTTCTGGGTAATTGGAACTGCAGGCACACACCACCACACGCCTAGTTAATTTTTTTTTCATTTTGTGTAAAGACAGAGGTTTCACTGTTGCCCAGGCTGGCCTCGAACTCCTGGGCTCAAGTGATCTTCCCACCTTGGTCCCCCAAAGTGCTGGGGTTGCAGGCATGAGCCACCATGCCTGGCCTGCTATCTCATTTTCTTATTCAATCAGAAGATCTACACCATTCTCTCCATCTCCACCTTAAACCTGTTCTTCCCCTGGAATATCCTAATATTCCAGTGGTCAGTGGCAAATATCACCCACCCATTCATCCAAGTCAGGGACATGGAATTTTCCCTCTTTTCTCTCCTCCCACCCACATCCAGAAGACACTGAAATCCCTTAAATCTCTCTCCAGCTGGTTATCTCCTTGTCTCTCCTCTCACCTCTGCCTAATCAGGTCCATATTGCCTCTCATCTGGATTACGCTGAGAGCCTTCTGACTCTACGCCTCCTGGAGGCAGACATATATATGGAAAGAGCATAGGTCTTAAAGTCAGAAAGCCAGGAGTAAATCAGCATGTACTAGTGGTGCAATCTTTGTGGGTGTCCATGTCCTCAACACTACCCAACCACAGGTCACTACGAGGATTCCCTGAGGCAGAGCATGTCAAGCTCCTGGCAAAAGCTGTTCTCTCCTTTCAGTTGGCCCCCTTCAGTCCCCCCTTCCACAGTCCTGCAATATAATGCTGTTACTTTCCTTGTTTAAAATACTTCACAAGCTCCTTACTGCCAATAGTCATAACCCCAGAGTTCAAGGAAGTATGAGTAGCACTGTAGTTATAAAATGGTAACTGGAAATGTCTTTCGTATCATACCAAACATTTGCTCTGAATGCAAAATTTGCATAGGTCAAAGATAAAGCAAAATAGAAAAAAAGTAAGGCTTGAGACTAACTCTTCTTCCCACCCCCTTTGCAGAGTACACATAATTCTCTTCTGCATTCAGCTAAGTCTGAAGGTTCAGAGAATGGTCTTCTCCTTTACCTGTCACACAAGGCCACGCCTGCTACTTCTCAATTGTCCTGGCTCCTCCCCTGGACTCACTACTTAAGCTAGATTTGACCTTCTTCTTAGGTGACAGGTCAAACTCTTTCACACCTTAAAACTTTCGCTCCAAATGTTTATTTTGCCTGAATTGCCCTCACTCCCCTCTCTACCTGCCAAACATTTTATTATTCAATGTCATCTGTCCTGGAAGAACAGAGAGATTAATCTACTGATTTAGGACTTTCCTCTTTTAAATACTTAAAAAATATAAACTTAATTTCCAAATGAAGTACATAATACTCCCAAAGATTTGGGATCTATGCTATCTCCCTGTCTTACCTTTTCTCTAAGGAAACAAAATTATGTAAACAAACTTCTTTTATGACCAAAAAGTATGTATATTTGCTATTATATACTGCCAAATTGCCTCCTTAGATGTTTTAGATGTTAACCAATTTATACCCACTAGCAAGATAGCTTTAGGATTTCTAAACATTGCAAATGTATCTGATTCTCTTTTCCAAAAAAAAATATATATATATATGTATAAATATATATAAATATATAGTCTCTCAAAGAGAGAAAATGAATTTTTTTTTTTTTGAGTTGGAGTCTCACTCTGTCACCCAGACTGGAGTGCAGTGGCACGCTCCCAGCCACCCGGCCACCGCAGCCTCGACCTGCTGGGCTCCGGTAATCCTTCCGTCTCAACCTTCCAAGTAGCCGGAACTACAGGCATGTGCTACTAGGCCCAGCTAATTTTTTAAAATTTTATTGCAGAGATGAGGTCTCGCCAAGTTGCCCAGGGGGGTCTCGAACCAGTGGGCTCAGGCAATCCATTCACCTCAGCCTCCCAAAGCACTGGGATTACAGGCTAAGCCTGGCAAAAATGAATTTTTTAAAAAATGTAGCTTTATGTTTGCAAGTACACACAAGGGCAGAGCAAGTCTTTTTACAAAAGCTATTTATGATTATTCATTCATGGCTTGCAGACAAACACTGATGCTAAAATTGATCTTCTATTAAAATAGGCTAACATTTCCCTTTTTACTATTAATTTGCTTAACAGAGCAAGCGTTTTCCCCAGAAGTCTAAGTAAACTTGTATTTTGAGCATATGGTATAATTTCTGCTTTACTAATATGGTTACAAGAAATTCTTTTTCAAAAATCCTGCTCAAACAGTGGCCCCTCATCTCAGCCCATCCTCACAGGGAAGACACACTTGAATGTAAACAGGACAGACAGTGTAGCTGCAAATGGCAGGGGCAGGACCCTTTGTCAGTCTTCTCCTTAGTCTGCTCCACCCAGGAAGAAGAGCTGCTCTACTGAATGCTTGGAGATGGAGACAGGAACAGGGCTGTGGCTGCTAGTAGGTCTGTGCCTCCCAATCCCCAAACCCAGGTGCCATTTGTTCCCAAGCATCTCCCGCATGCTGTCTTGATGCTGCGACAGCCCCAGAACTTTATGAGGCACACTGGCCAGGCACACTTTTTTTTCCTGATTCCATGAGGTTGGGTGGGCATACTGAGGCGTAGCCATTACTCTTTTGATATGTGTGGGTTTTTTTTTTTTTTTGACTTGGAGTCTCACTCTGTCACCTAGGCTGGTGTGCAGTAGCATGATCACAACTACTGCAGCCTCAATCTGATGGGCTCAGGCGATCCTTCTGCTTCAGCCTTCCAAGTAGCTGGAACTACAGGTGCGAGTTACCACACTCAGCTAATTTTTTGATTTATTGTAGAGATAAGGTCTTGCCAAGTTGTCCAGGATGGTCACGAACCTGTGGGTTCAGGAAATGTTCTTGCCTTGGCCTCCCAAAGTGCTGGGATTACAGGCTTGAGTCACCACGCCCAGCTGCTAATTTTTTGACTTATTGCAGCGATGCAGTCTTGCAAAGTTGCCCAGGCAGATCTCCAACTACTGGACTCAGGCAATCCTCTTGCCTCTGTCTCTCAAAGTGTTGGGATTACAGGTGTGAGCCACTGTGCCCAGCTTCTTCTGATGCCATTTTATTGCTGGCTTGCTTGCTTTTTAGAGGTTGGTGAACAGGTGAAAAGGAGCAGAAGGCCCCATGGAGGTCCAGCTCACATACCCAGTGGAATACTGGGCACTGGCACAGTTTTTTACACTGAGATTATTTTAACCTCTGTTCTGCTCTTCCCTTGGGTACAGTTACCTCTGAATTTCACAGAAGAGGTCAGGGTAATTTCAGGGGTGAAATATGGACATTCCTGGATCCCCAGATCCAATGCTATCAAAACAGCACTAACACTCTCATCCAATTCCAAAATGAGAGAGCTACTTTTCTTTTGGGCCACTAAGTTGCAATAATCCTTCAATTCCCTTCATTCTACCCCAGCTGAAATGCTTCATTTAGGTGCTCCAAAAAGATATATCAGCACCTACCCCCCCCAGTGATGATAATAATAATCACTATCACCATCCACTATGGTTTGAGTGTATCCCTAAAATTCACATGTTGGAAATTTGGCCCCCAGTGCCAGGGTATTGGGAGGTGGGGTCTTTAAGAGGTGATTAGATCATTAAGAGGGATTAATGTCACTCTCTGGCGGCTGGGTTAATTCTCGAGGGAGTGAGTTCTCACTCTTGAAGACTGGATTAGTTACCAAGAGAGCAGGATGTAAAGCAAGGTTGCCCCTCATGTTGTGCCCCTTTTGCACATGCCACTTCCCTTTCAGTTTCTCCATCACATCATCATGAAGCACAAGGCCTTCACCAGAAGCCCACCTGATGCAGCAGCCTGATCTTGAACTTCCTGGGTGTTAGGGCTTCATGACTATGAGCCAAATAAATTAACCAGCTTCAGGTATTCTGTTGCAGCAACTGACATTACCTCTCTCTGCCTCTCACAAGGCCAGAGTACACAAAGAAGAAACACGAGGAAGCCTTGCTCTCCTTGCTGGGTCCCAGTGTCTGGGTCCAACCTTCACTCCCCAGACACAAGAGCCTTGGCAGCTGGCCAAGCTGCCCTGTTTGTCCCTCAGGAATGAATCAGCCCACTTCTTCCCCAAAATTATCTTCATGGTCCCAAGCAGATTGTGCTGAAGTTCCGTTTCTCTTGGAAAAGGTGAGGTCAGCACTATCACTTCTCCTAATGTTCAGCCCTTCAACATTCTGCTCCTTTCAGTTTAGCCATCCCTCAGCTCCCACAGGAAACCTGCCACCTCTTCCAATTCCAACCTGGATCTTCACTCACTCCAAGTCCACAGCACCTTCACTCCTCCTCAGCCCAGGCCGTTTTCCTGGGTGCCAGGACTTCTTTCTCACCCTGAACGCTACACTCAGCTACTTCAAGTTGTCCTCTTTGGGAGGGAACTCTTCTTCCACAAATTGCTGACATCAGTGCCTATCCCTAAAGTAGAATCACCTTCATAATTTGCCTCTTCTATTCCTGCTCCCAGGTAATGAAGACCACTGAAAGAAGCCATATAAATGTACCCCATCTGGTTAACTTGCAATTTATGCATCTAACTTCAGCTTGGCTCCACTCCACTCCTACATTCTCACCAATCTTTAGTTCAGTTTCATTTTAAAACTTAGACCTGTTTATTTTTGGAGAATCTCTCACTCCTGCCTATGATCTAGCTTTTGCCTCATAATCTCCAGAAATTCCCAACGCAAAGATCCCCAATATCTGGTCCCAGTCACATTCAAGGGCCTCTTTCCTAACTGCCACCTTCCTGGGGCAAGGCCCTTCTTTCCAGTCTTCCCCTCTTCGGTCCGTGTGGGGTTGTGTAATGGGTGCCCTCCCACTCATCTTCTGAATCTGCTTGATCTATTTTCAGGCTTACTTCTGCCTGTGAGGCTCAGTCTCATCTCAACAAAGCATGGCCTCTAGCCATGGCCTCCTTCTAAGATTATGTGGTATATCTGGCATTTGACTATACACTGGATGCATGTCTCAAAAGCTGAGAGCAATACATCTCTAAAAAAAATACCTCCCACCTTGATTCAAAATTCTACTCCAGAAGAGCCCTTAGAGATCATCTAGCCAGCGGATTTTTTTTTTATTTTTTGAGTTGAAGTCTCACTCCGCCACCGAGGCTGGAGTGCAGTGACACACTCACAGCCACTCCAGCATCGACCTGGTGGGCTGCAGTGATCCTTCTGCCTCAGCCTTCCAAGTAGCCAGAACTACAGGCACGTGTGACCACGCCCAGCTAATTTTCTTTAATTTATTGTAGAGATGAGGTCTCTCCATGTTGTCCAGGCTGGTCACAAACCCACAGGCTCAGGCAATCCTCTCGCCTCGGTCTCCCAAACTGCTGGGATTACAGGCTTGAGCCACTGCACCCAGCCTTTTTTTTTTGAGTTAGAGTCTCACTCTGTTTCCCAGCCCAGAGTACAGCAGCACAGTCACTGCTCATGGCAGCCTCGACCTTCTGGGCTCAGGGGATCCTTCCACCTTAGCCTCTAGAGTAGCTGGGACTACAGATGCACACCACTATACCCAGCTAACTTTTTGATTTTTTTGTAGACTAGGTCTCACTATGTTGCCCATGTGGTCTCGAACTCCGAGCTCAGCAATCCTACTGCCTTGGCCTCCCAAGTTCTGAGATTACAGTCGTGAGCAACTGTGCCTGGCTGAGCCAGAGAATTTTACAGACAAGGACTGCTCCAGTGAAAAGGTTGCCAGGGGCTGCCCAAAGTCACTGCCACTCAGTAGAGGCCAAGGACTACTGCTGTCTTCAGACTTTGGTGCTCCTGCCACAACATCATTATACCGTGTGCCGGGCTGCTTCCAAAGTCCAAGTCAGAGAGTCACAGAATGCAACTTGTGCTGTCTATCCTGCTTTACCAGTGGCATCAAGATTCCAAAAGGAGCTATAAATGAGGGCAGTGTCAGGATGAGGTAAGGAAACCCTCCTTCTCTTTCTCTCCACATCCTCCTCAGGAAACCATCAAGACAACTACAGACTCTGATAACCAGTCAGAGGGAAGGAGGGGCTGAGGCTGCTGGCTACAGGTCAGAGTGTTCAACCTGCAGGCAGGTGTCTGGTGACAAAGATAACATCCAATTTGCTCTGTGTCACTACCACATCAAGAGGGACTTTTTATCATCTCTGTAAGGTCTGAAAAAAAAAGGGAACCTTCTATACAGAATCAATGTCTTCAACACGCTGCTGCACAATGCCTGTGGGAAACAGTATGTTTAATGCTGGACAGGAGGGTGTTTACCCACCGTTCTCCATGCTCCAGGTAATGCCTGCACTCTAATTTCCTCAACCAGAAAATCAGGGGCTTGGAGAATGTCACCTTCTAGGTTTCATATGGTCCTGAAGTCTAAGGCTTTAGGTTCTGTGTTACCTGGGGAGTAGCCTGGAGGTAGATGAAGCCATGTAATGTGAGCTGGCTGGCAAACTCCTGCAGGAGAAAAGAATGCCAGTCCTGATAGATATGCCATTCGATGTCACTGAGGGAACCATTTTCAAAAAGATTCTTTGCAAAGATATACCTAGTTGGAAATGTAAGTGGGATGGGGATGGGAGTGGGGAGGAGAATGGAAAATGGAATGAAAGGCACAAGAGAGAGAAAAGCAGAAAAATCAATAACCAACTTGTTCCATGTCTGTTCAAACCACTTAACCTTTCTAGCTCCTTATCAATCCCTAAGAAATCTGAATTCTTAACCTATATCTCCCTCCTAGTTCAATACCAAGAAGGAAAATAGTATCTAGACTTTAAAGGATTAGATGGATTAATTCACTGAAAGAAAAGGGACACCAGAAGAGAATATCATTGGTCCCTAACAATTTTCCCTGCTAGAAAATCAGTCAGCACATACAGTAAATGGTACATGTAAACCTGAACTTCTAAGATTTCCTTATTATTATAGCAAGGCCCCAAACAAACAAACAACAACAACAAAAACAAGAAAAAATGAGTGACTCCAGTGTGAAGCCACCCACTACATTTCATTTAAGGACTGAGGGCTCCTCAGTCTCCAGGTTGCTGAGCCATCCTCTTGTCTAGTTGTCTAGTCGAGAAGGAACTGTATTTATGTGGTATCCTCTATGGAGCAGAAAATGCACTTCCTATTAACCTTAGTATTACCAAGAAAGCAGACTGTCCTACAAAGTGCATATGAGCTCTTATTTGCTTGCGTTCTCTGCTGTTGAGCTTCTAGTTGAGATTTTTTAAAAAGGCTGAAGCTAAAAATCAAGCTAGCCTTGCCTCTTGTTTATTTCCACGACTAAAAGAGAACCTAGTAAAAAAGAAACTGGAGCTAAACAGAAGTCATGGCTTCAGAAAGGGTCAATTCAGCTTTCAAACCTCAGACATCTTAACACAAAACACAATTTATATCCTAAACAATAGACTCCAGTTTTGAAGGCAACACTTAGCAATGGGTTACTTCTGGGAAAAAAAAATTCAGAATCCTCATGTACGAATGGTTCACAAAAGTGTAGACTGCAAGGCTGTGAGTGTCACCACTAAGAGACTGGGTCCTAAAGTAACACTCCAGGGTTTGATCCAGGCTGCAGCATTCACTAGTTATGTCACCTTGTGCAAGTTACCTAAACTCTCTCAGCACATTGTTGTGATGACTTGCATTCAGTACCCAGTGCTTAGACGAGTGGCTGGCATATAATATTCAAGACAGTTATTATTATAACTGGTTTTTGCTAGGCTATGAAAAGGCTCTTAGAAACTCCAAAAGTAAACTTTTTCAGTCTGGAATTGTTACAGTCTAAGTGAAGGAAATAAAGGAAAAAGTGACTTTTGTAACTTAAGTAGTGAAAAACACTTTAGCTTCCTCACAGGTAAGTAGAAGAAGAAATTAAGATCTTATAAAGACAAATTAAAGATTTATTAATCAGCCCTATAAAAGGGGCTTTTGCCTCTCTTGAGAACGAGCACTTAAGGACCTAGAAGTAGGACCTCAAATCTAAAACCACATGTTAGTGTTTCCTTTCACTCAAACACAAAAGATTTCTTCTTCCCTTTAATCCACTCTCCCAAATAACCCATGTCTCTCCTTTGGAACATATGTCAAACATGTAAGCGTGTGTTCTGCCCCTGTTAGACGAGGATCCGTGTGAAGGCAGGGACTGGGTCTGCCTTATTCATTGCTGCAGACCCAGGGCCAGGCCTGGTACCAAAACGTAGGAGGCATTCAATAAATCTGTGCTGAGCAAACAAGATCTAAACTACCCTCAGGATTAGAATTTATAATTAGTTATCCTTTCTGTCTCAAAAATGCCCTCTCTGAAAAAAGCACCTAGGTTGTTGCGGCTGCCCAGAATGTAATTAAATCTTATCTCTTCCTTTACAAGTAAGTGTTAAGACACATGTTGCCTCTAATTCTAATTAACAAAGCATTTCTATTTCTCTGTTTTTCTCTAAGGGGTCTCACATGCCTACCTCACTAAGGGGTTAGAAATCAAAAGACAGACTGTAAATATGTTTCCAAGCAACCCAGGTGGTTTATTATATGTAATTCAACTTCCTAGTTCAAGAGGCATGGCTTGGGAGAAGAGAGAGGAAAATAGGCAGTAGCATACCTAACAGCTGAAAAAGAACTGAAATCTATAGCCCAGTCATTTGTAAGTTACATATTTAGCTTTGATAGAGAATAGGCTCTCTCTTGGAGTACATAAAGAAGGAATATGTAGCTCAAAGGGTTTGTTTTACATATCTTGCTTGGTTTTTAGGCAAGTCAGAAAATCACATGCCATTTACAAGATGGTATATGACTGCATTTTTTTTTCTTCCAGGAGGCTTTATGGGCACACTAATAAGCAAAACTAGTTTATATAACTTAGAATTAAAACAGTAAGCAACTGAGTGTCTTCAGCAGTAAATGGACAATGAAAATGCACCATTTTCCATTTTGGTAACTCAAAGGGACTTAAATAGGTCATTTTGCTTGAAAGTACCATTTCACACTGACACATGTCACATAGACTTCAGATAAGAAAAACCTCAGCAGTGTCCAGACCAAGCCATCCTGACTCTGTTTCAAGACAGCTTAACCACAAGTCACAGCCTGGCCTCCGTGGCAGAGCCAGGAATTCAGAGTCTGCATGGAGTGGCTCTCTGGAACAGATGGGCTCACTTACCAGGCTGGCTGTTAGTCTTCATGAAAAGTGACTTCACATCTCACTCCCTCAGGTGGTCAGGACGATGTCCTTCACCTGACCTGATATAAGCTACAGACTCTGGCCAGCAATAAGGGGTCACAAAAGAAGGAGTCAAAAAAGGCTAAATCCAAGATAGAAGCAAATTTCTTAGATGTGCTATTTCTGCCTGGACATCCTTTCTTGAAGAACCCTAGAACATATACCGCTACTTAAGTGTCTATTCTGCGCCTTTCAGCATGTAATGGTTATACTAGATAGCTACTAGCTGGCTTCTATGAGGAAAAAAAGGAAATGTAAGGTAATCGGTAGCAATGTAAGAAATTTAACACATTCAGTTTTCAAAAAACACAATTTCCTTTCTTGACACAGATGATAATTTGGCAGAATTACAACTCTGGACAAACCTATATAGTGTTGTCTTTTTAAAAAATATATAATTTTTCAAAGTAAAATTTTCAATGACTAAAGCAGAGCAGGGTCTGAGTAACAAGTGCAAACAGGCAGTACTAAGCATGGGCTTGGGTGGAGGGCTTGGCATCTTACCTATCACTGTACACAGACCTCTCAAAGATCTGTACTGGCTTCTTGGCCTGTAAGAGTTTCTTAGGGAAGGGCTCCAGCTGTACTTTCAAGCGGCTCATAAAGGAAAATGTCTGGAATGTGTAGGACCATCGTGCTGGTTCCCGGTACATCATATCCAGCAAGTTTCCAAGACTTTGGGCAATGCAGGCCTAGAAGGAGATAACAAAAGAAGAAAAATTCCTAGAAGGCATATTTACTCCACGGTGAATATCCCTCCACACACCTCCCACCTCCTCTAAACCAGTTTAATAATCATCAAGGGAAAGAATTACAAAAGTGTCTTTCTCCTTAAAAAATATCAGGGCTGGACACAGTGGCTCATCTTGTAATCTCAGCACTTTGGGAGGCCTAGGCGAGAGGATTACCTGACCCCAGGGGTTCGAGACCAGCCCGGGCAACTTGGTGAGATAGCGTCTCTATAATAAGTCAAAAAAACCAGTCAGGTGTGGTGGTGTGGGTCTGTAGTTCCAGCTACTTGGAAGGTTGAGACAGAAGGATCACCTAAGCCCAGCAGGTCGAGGCTGCGGTGGCCATGAGTATGCCACTGCACTCCAGCCTGGGTGACAAGAGTGAAACTCCAACTCAAAAAAAAAAAAAAAATCAAATTCCCTAGCTTAGTCAAAGTTATATAATCTGGGAAGAGATTTTCCTACTTTATTAGACAAGACTCTAATAGAGGGAAATGACATGCTAACTTCAACGTAATCCAGCAGAACAGGGGAGGAACCATATATGGAATTAATATAACCACTGACTAAAGGATTTGTGAAATCTGCCTGGAAAGGAGTTAACAATCAACAACCATCTAAAATTCTACTTTGAATCAAATCTTTCCACTCTCACACTATGTTGCCTCTCTTTTAAGCCTTCATCTGTGGCTATTAGTTTATAAAACTTTAAGGCAAACAAGAAAACAAATGCTTATTTGAAAACCCAACCAACCAATCAAATATAATTCTATCTTTTGTAGAAAGGCTAAAATTTATTTGCTAAAACAAAGTAATAAAAACAAAACCCTCCTCCTCCATTCTAGAGGCCTTGTCAAATGTAATCTGAAGAGTTTCACTTACTTGGCATGTGCAGGTAGCATAAGTGTGGGACACTTAATAGCCCTGTACTCTTTCCTGGATCTGCCACTGACTCAATGCAAAAGTAAGTTTTGTGCAAAAGCACTTTGGATTTGCATTTATTTGCTCAATCACCATTACCTGAAGGCCAGTGTAGATGAGGCACTAAATGGGCTAGGTATAAGGGGTACAGAAAAAGAAGCTAATATTCATTTCAGCCTTCACCTGCTGTTAGCTCATTTACTCTTTAAAACAGCTTTAGGAGGTAGATATTGTTGTTATGCCCATTTTCAGAAGAGAAAACACACTCAGAGGTTGAGTAACTTACTTGTCCAAGGTCTCAGGGAAAGTAGTGTTGAGGGGACTCGAACCTGGCTTCCTCTACCTCTTCATTCTAACACACCTCCAAACAAAGGTGAACAAGACATGACTCCTGAACTCAAAGAGCTCACAATGCAAAAGGAAGAGGATTACAAAGACATAAAGAGCCAGAAGGTAAGGCAGAATATGATGAAGGGACAATCACATATGGTAACAGGAATCTTGAGGAGGGAATGCTTCCTGAAAGAAGTGGCACTAAGCTGGGAAGTAAATGATGGAATTTCTACAGATGGAAATGAAGATTCAGAAGAGAGCATTTCAGGTGGAGACCAATGATACAGGAGGGGAACAAAGATTAGACAACACCAAGTAGTCCAATTTGGCTAAATACCACCTTTAGATTCCAAAGAAGGGTCTCAGTCCTTTGAAAGGCTTCAGCACAAGCAACACATATAAAGCAGAGTGGATCAGAAAACGGTTTAACTCAGAGGTTTGTTCAGGATTTCTCCCTTGTCAGTCCCCCAACCCACAAACATACACTAGCCTAAGAGCTGGAGATAGAAGCAGGGGAACAAACCTGAATCTCCTCAAGTCTCTGTGGTATCACTAGAGACTATGGGGAGCAGCCGTTGGCCCCAGAGCACAGTTCACAGACTGCATGTGAGGTGGGCCACTGTGCTGGCAGATGTAGTGGGCTGACTGAGTGGGGCCCATGGCACAGTGGCCTCTGGGCTACCAAAGGGAGACTATTCTGGAACAAAAACTGTACAGGGGCTCACACAATTTCCAAAAGAACCCATCTCAGCTACAGAATAAACACAAACATCCCTCCAAAAATATACACAGAGGGGCAATAATTGGATATAAAAATATTCAGCAATTTAAAAGAGGACCAATTGGTATGCTCAGACAAAGCTGTTGCCAGAAATAGGAGAAAACAAAATCTCAATGAGATTCAAAATACTGCCTCGCTGATAAGACAAGAATAGGCTGTCATAAAGAAGGAGCAATATGAAAAGAACAACAATCTTAGAGGTGTAAAATGCAATTGCCAAAGTAAAACACACAATGAAAAGAGTAACTGGCAGACCTACACTGCAGTAAACTTAATTAGTGAATTAGGAGATCCCTACAGAATAGCAGCTTAAGAAATTCTCCCCAAATTAAGAGGAAAGGAAAAAAAAAAGCAAAAAATTATGAAAGAAATGAAAAGACATGCAGATGGCTAATGAGGAGATCCAGGCCGGGCACAGTGGCTCAAGCTTGTAACCCCAGCACTTTGGGAAGCCGAGGCGAATGGACGGCCTGAGCCCGCAGGTTCGAGACCAGCCTGGGCAACATGGTGAGACCTCATCTCTACAATAAATAAAAAATTAACTGGGCGTGGTAGCACGTGCCTGCAGTTACGGCTACTTGGAAGGCTGAGGTGGCAGGATCTACGGAGCCCAGCAGGTCAATGCTGGGGTGGCTGAGAGAGTGCCACTGCACTCAGCCTGCGCAACACAGTGAGCCTCTAACTCAAAAAAAAGAGGAGACCCAATGTGCATTATGAATATTGGTGGGGTATTTTTTTGTTTTTCTTTCTTTTCTATGGAAAGACACAGCAAGACGTACTATCACTTGTAGTCCATCTCACAGCAATGAATATAATTTTGTATCAAGCAACTTTCCAAACGGGCCAAAATGATATGTAATATGCAACTTTAAGTACCCCTAAGTCAGACAAGCTTCTAGTCAAAGAAACAATTTTCCTTTTCAGGAGACCAGAGTCCAATCAGAAGTGCAACAAAATACATGAGCAGAGGAAGAGCCCTACTCATAAGGTATGTGTCTCCCTTGTCACTGAGAATCGGCGTCTAACAGAAATATGTGCTATCTCAAGGTATTTGGGGACAGAAAAAAAAGTTTCATGGTACAAGTAGGAGTTACAGCAGGAGAAATTTATCAGATTTTTTAAAAAGTTTAAATAGCCCGGGAATGGTGGTTCAAGCCTGTAATCCCAGCACTTTGGGAGGCCTAGGTGAGAGGATTGCCTGAGTCCACAGGTTCGAAACCAGCTTGGGCAACCTGGCGAGACCTCATCTCTACAATAAATCAAAAACTAGTCGGGCATGGTAGCATGCGCCTGTAGTTCCGGCTACTTGGAAGGCTGAGGTGGAAGAATTGCTGGAGAACAGCAGGTCAACGCTGGGGTGGCCATGATTGTGCCACTGCAATCCAGCCTAGACAACAGAGTGAGACTCTAACTAAAAAAAAAAAGTTAAAATAGAGGAAAAAATTTAAAGGAAATCTCAGAGACAAGACTTTGCACCAGGGAAACTTACCAAGTACCAGAAGAGATTTTAAAATATATTTACATATATAACAATCCATTCACACATATGCACAAGTGGACACAAACACGGAAAAAGAGAGATAGCCACAGTTGGACCTATCCTGGCAAAATGTCAATAGTTCATTAAAAATACAAGAGAAAAATACCTAATGCAAGGAGAAAAAACAAAAATCACTTTAAAAAAGGAGCAGAACCACATAATACTGCTCTACAACAAAGGCTGGCTACCTTTTATATTCCAGGGCAAAGAAAGTCATATATATATATATATATATATATATATATATATATATATATATTTTTTTT